CAAAAGGAGAAAAAGGTAATAAAACAGATATATATATAAATAATAAAAACAAAAAAAGAAATTAAATAATAAAAATAAAAAAAAAATAGTAGGCCGGAGGTCGGAAAGTCAGATAGCCTTCTACACCGTATGCAGATACTGCGGCTAATTAGCTTCCGACCCTCACGTGCCTCTGGAGTAACTTTCACGTCTCACAGTATGTAAATTTAAATCATGTAAAAAATAGTAATACCTGGCGTCCACCTTGTGCAGGTAATATTAGGTCTACTATTGAAGAAGCTAAAAATTGCTTATAATAAAAATGGTAAATGCCTTTTAGAAATTATATCAATTTCCAAGCTCCATTACAATGGCAATGTGCTAAAGAACATGAATAGAATGCAAATTTAAATCTTATAAAACGTTTAATAGGCCGTGTCCATTTTGTCGAAGATCTGTATCAAAAAATAATTATCAAGTATTTTAGGACCATCAACCAAGACAAGTCGACCTGATTTTCTTAAACACCCAAATATCCTACTGGATTAAAACTTGATATTTATTACTTGGAACATGGTTTTTCAATCGAGATACAAGGATGAGCATGATAAATATATTGAATTCATTCATAGAGATCCAAAATTTCATTAATTACAGAAAAGAATTGTGCGAACTGGATTGTCTTAAGATATGTTTGGCATCATAAAGACCCATGTGTAATTATTCTAGAACATCTTCGAGAATTGGTCTCATTGAATAGGGTTAAAACTTTAAATGCTCGATATTAATTACACATGTACAGTACATAATTAGTGGATTAATCATGTGCTATTTTTTCATAATAGATAACGTTTAAACAATAAAAAAAATCTGGAGTGCAGTATTTTTGTAACGTAAATGCTATAATACCTCATTAGAATTTATTGAAATATATGATCGTAAATTTCACTCGGTTTAAAAAAATCAATACGTGGAATTATGCCCTCCTCTTCCTCTTTCCTTATTCTTTCTCATTCTTTTGATATTTTTGGCAAATTTCACAGCTTTTGGTCGTTCTGGTGTGACTCCAGTTGTATATTTAGTTTGAGGCTTCGCAATATGCCGCTGTCCTTTCTTTGCAAACTTCTCAAATATCCTAACCTCCTCAAGAACATTATATCATAAACATAAGAGTGTTCGAATGAGTCGAGATGCATGTTCTAAGTTAGCAGTAGAAGTTGGGATTATGAGTGCTGGAATCGTAAATGGTAAGATCAAGTACAATCCAGGTCCAATAAATATCATTTGGCCAATTTCAACATTATTTTCTAAGAATAAGTAATTTATTATGTACCAAAACAAAGAAATGTTTAAAACATTTTAAAAACTTACCAAATCCTTGAGCTAAGAACACTTTTAATGTACTACACACTTCACACGTTGGTATTATTGATGCAAAAAACACCCCATTCATCAATTTTTGTCTATCTTCATTAATTTTATCTGGGTTCGGATTATTGAAACCTTCTAATATCTCGAGTAAAAACAATATAATGTTGATCCACTACCACTCTGAATGTATATTGCGTGAAAAAAAACATAGAAAGTTTTGAATTTTAAAAACTTAATATAATACAACAATTTCTCTTTCTTTAATATTGCAACG